TGGGAGGCTTTTTCCCATGGAAATGAAGCCTTGTTTCCTGTGCAATGTTGGGGCTGCTGTTGGCCTTTCATTTCCCTCATTTATTTGAGTATTTGAAGAGGTTTTAAGTGGCTGTTTGGTGGGGAATACCATGAGTTTTTGATGTGAAACAACATGCGTTGAACAAGAATTGCCTTTGAGAAATTAATAAAAGCGATGAAATTTATCTTGCTAATAAATAACTCTTTGCTTGCTCAAGATTGAGTTAAGAATTCGTCGTTGAGAGATTTAGCAATGACAATAGATCACATGTAGAGATTACGGTAACTTGCAAAATAACGACTAAATATATAGGTAATGCAAATAGCTAATGATAACGAAGCCTCAAATTTAAAATCTAGATCGTTCACCTTGAAGTCCTTCACTCGTTTTGAAAATGGTGGCTAGCGGAGGAGGATCGTAAGTAGACTTAGCAATGCCACTAGTAGACAGGTGATCCCGAGAGGACTCGTCACCAGGGAAGAAGCCAGACTTGGAGCGGGTGGGTGGCCGTCAATGATCCACTCGGAGTCTGGACGTGATGACGTGTATGAGGGTCGGTAGGATCCGATCCAAATAAGTTCCAACGGTGTCGTCGTCGGAATCAAATCCTACGTCGAAGAACGGCGATTGTTGGATGTCAAGGTTGCCGTGAGCGTCGAACACAAGTCTCCATTCAAATTCGGGGTCAGCCATGCATGGTGGTAGTGAGTGATGAAGCCAAAGAGGGGAGGCGAGCGAGCAAACTGCGAGCAAGAAGAGAGGGGCTGGTCACGGGTTGGAGAGGGGCTAGGGGCGGGTGGAGCTATGGGGGGAGAAAGGCTAAAATCTGATAATTAATTCAAATTTCCGATTTCTATGCAGTTTTTCTACTGCAGTTTTTGTTGTTTTGGGACAGATTTCTGGATTGTTTCTGGACATAAATCTGGGCTGATATTTTGTCCTTTCAATTGCCCCCTTTAATTGAATTAATTAGTAGTTATAATGGTTGTTTAACTCCCCTTTATTGCCTATATATAGGGGTTGATTTGTATGTTTTAGTGAGAGGTTATGATGATAATTTTTGGGACAAAACCTGAGAGGTTTTTCTTGGAAAAAGCTTGAGAGCTTTGTTCCACTTCTTTTTCTACTTCTATGGAAATCTTGCGAGCTCTTTCCAACATTCGTCTTGGCTTCTAATCACTTTCTTCTATCCGCAAGTGCCACCTCACCTGTATCCTTCTTCTCAAACAAGAAATGCAACTTTAGGTGTTTGTCTTGTTAGAATCGTTTGTAGGGTGTTTGTGTTTCTAAGTGTCTTGTAAGCCATCTTTAATGTTATGTCAAAAGTTTGTAAGTCCTTTTATATGATATAAAAAGTTTGTGTCTGTTTTAACTTGTCTAGTTTTGTGAGTTCTTGATTTTTTCTAGATCCTAGAAAGAGTCTTCTTTTGTGATCAAAAATTTGGGGCCCTCTCCCAAATTTTTGATTGCATCAAATTTTCATTCAGGTATATTCTATTTTATTCTTTATTTCACATATGCACATAAAGCTCTATGCTTATTTGATGTTTTCTTACAAATTTGAGAATTCAGGTTTCATCGTTACATTTTGTACATATAAGTGCAATTATTTTGCAATGTTATTTGTTACTTTCTTACTCCAGTAGAGTTAATCATATTGACTTAATATCTATAATTTCATGAACATATTGCATTTTCATTTGAGAAACATCTGCATTATCATGCATACTATGAAGTACGAGGATAGTTAAATGGCTTCAGTTAGCAGAAAAACTGTAGTCAAGGTAATTCATAAGAAAGCATGTTAGCAGTAGTTTGGGCGCTTCATATAAAACAGTAACTATGACTGAAATTTTCTTTGTAAACAGTAGTGCAAGATAGCTTCCAATTCACATGCGTAGAAAACCTATTTACCTAGGTTATTTGATGCAATCAAAAATTTAGAAAATTTAAAATTGCAAAGAAAATTTGACTTCCTTAAAACATAAACATTACAAACTTACATAAGATAACGATAATATTAAAATAAAGATGACACATACAATTTTAGGACATAGAAACAACACCTAAAGAAGCTTTTTATTCATCGAGAAGAAAGATATAAATTGGGTGGAACTTGCGGAGAGAAGAAAGAGGTAAGAAACCCAAGACGAAATCGAAGAGAGGAGGAGAGGAGAAATGGAACAAGCTTGCAAGCTTTTCCAAAAAGAAATCCACAGGTTTTTTGCTCCAAAATTCTTCACATAACATTCTTCTTTAAATTCTCAAAACCACCAATATATATAGTTGAAAAGAGGCAGCCAAACAGCCCCTAATTTACTCCAGCCAAACCAATCCAAAAGGGGGAAACAGAAGGCCAACAGGCGGCCTAGAACAGCAGCCGAAGGGACCACCTAGGGGAGAGGAAAAAGGCAGCCACAGAATACAGGAACAGACGCCCAAAGGGAACCGGAACAGACAGTCACGGGGAGAGGAAAAGCCAGCCACGGGGCAGGAGCCAGGGGAGAAACCGAAAGGCCAAGGGAAGGGGCAAAGGAGAGAATGAACCAGGACACTCCCATTTATGAGCTAAAAAGGAGTTGAACTACAAGTAATAATGAGCTAATTTTAGTAGAGAATATAGCAGCTGACCAAAGGGAAGCTAAAACCAAGACAACCAAGCCTAAGCCAGGAATCAAATCATTTTAAAAACAAGGCAAATCAATTGTGCAGGTGGTATTGATTATCGCGTGAAACAAAAAGAAATTAAAGATGGCATTCTTAGATTATGACATGTACAGAGCCAGAGTGCTAAGTCTATTAAGATTTACATTGTTAAGAAACTGAAAAGCCAACTGACTGCCGTATATCTCCTTGGTATAAAGAAAAAGTCTTATAATCTGCATAAACAAAAAAAGAAGAACATGAGATCAATAATAAAACGAAGAATAAAAAAGTAAATCATAAATAAGATAATACAAATCAAACAGAATTATGTAAGTAATATTCTGTTTAATATTACCAAACTATAGCTAAAAATTCAATACATATTGCAGTGAAGGCCACCCATAAGAAAAAGAACACTAAATTTTGAAATTAACAGACTTTTCACTAGCAACCAATCAATCTTCAAATATAAAAGCCAACAAAAAAATGAAACAAGTTAATAAATCTGAACAATAAGGACAACAAACAGCACAAAAAGTAAAATCATTATATAGCATCACCATAAATGAACTTAAAACAAATTTAACAATAAGTTCTGTAATTTGTGGCATCATGCTGACAAGGACGAGAGTAGTGGATATGAGCATAGAGCAATCCAATGCTAGCTTAAGGGCATTTCTAGCGGGAAAGTTTTAAATAATTAATGGAGAATAATACCATGATAAAATTTTTAAAATACTGATCCATCAGAATTATTTATTTGATTCTCCAGGCCATCAATATGATAAAATTTCATCCACATGGAGCTACTAACCACAACAAAGTTGGTGGCTAAAAGGATATAAACAAGTTCATGGCATTTACAACTTCAGCATGTTTTCATTAGTGGGTGGGCTTACTCTTTGTGACCATCATAATCAATGGTAGAAATTGCTTCAAATAAATATTACTAATAAATTTCTCTATGCTGAACTAAGTTGTTTACATGGTGGCAACCTCAATGACATGTTCTTAAGAGGAGAATAAAACATATAAGCTTCAGAAAGATATAAATCAGTTGAAACAAATTCATCAAGCCTAATTTGATGAACTCTGCAAGGTCTTTATAGACTAGTTTGACAAACAGAATCCTCAAGCCTAATTAGTAAATAAAGACTTCTATCAACATTTGGCAAGTAACCCGACCTCATATATTCTTCATTAACAGAGTAGTTAATCAACATATGCTATACTTAAAAGAAAAAAAGCTGGGATGTTGTTTTAAGAATCTTAAAATAAAAAAAACCTCTAGAAAATATTTTATTTTTCAAAAATGCAACCATTCAAAAAGTCAAGTTCATTTTGATGTTGATTGTGCTAGATCAGTTGAAGGTCAAAAGTCTACTCAGGATTTTATTATTTTATAGGAGGAATTGTCTCATGGAGCAGCAAAAAGCAAACCATGGTCACCAAATCTAACATTAAAGTTGAATATAGGTCTTGAAATATTTTGTCTGTGTAATCATCTGGATCAAAATTATAATAGAGGAAATTGTCTTCCCTACAACTTAGCTCATGATTTTTAATTATGATAATTAGGTAGTAACGTCAATAGATATCATATTTTTCATGAAGGAATAAAACATTGAAGTGGATTGTCAGTTTTACGAAGATGTGGATCTATAAAAAATGTTCATTATCAAGACTCTAGCAGAGGAGCAATAAGCAGATAAATTTATCAAAGCTCTAAGCCGTATCTATTTCTCCAATCGTTGCAGCATACCAGTACTCCTTGATAGCATGGGGGAAGTGTCATCATAGAACTTTTATCATATTGCAAAGTCTTCAATACTTTAATATTTTATCTTTAGTTTTGTAATAAATCCACATAATTAAGGATATTCACATCTTTAATTTCAATTATTTCCTTCATATTCACTCTCCTATTTGCATATATACATGCACTTGTATTAGCAGCAAAATTAATCAATAAGTTTTTGTCATTCAACAAAAAGAAGATTCAAGAGATAAATTTGCACTCGAATGTCTCCTTAACAATGTGGCCTAATCTAGTAATAGGCATATAATTTAGTAAATGCTCAGCAAATCTGCAGTTTTTGACATGGGCATAAAATTCCCAATTAATGGATAATGCACTATGATGCACAGGCACGTACACGGCAACACGGACACAACACGGACACGGACACGGGACAGGGGACACGGGATACGTCAATTATTTAAAATATAGGACACGCACACGGGTTGGACACGATATTATAGTTTTTATATTTTAAAAATAGTGTATAAAAATTAAATAAGTATAATTTTAAAAATAATTCAGAAATAATAAGTCATTTAATTAGAATTTGTGCTTAAAATGATAAGTATTAGGATGTTGTTTATCAATTACCGAGAGAGGAGATGAAAAAACCTTCATTGCCAAAGAGAAATGAAAATGAGAACATTCGATGAATATGTATTAAGTGCGGAAGTTGATTTGGTGTTGTGGATAGGAAATAAGAAATTTAGTTTAACTCCCGCCAAATACAAGTGATGCGGGCAAAAGATATAGGGAGCCTATACCCTTCGCCCACGACGGACACGACGGACTTCTATCGACTAAAATGAGAAAGAGGGAACGAAAATAAGGAAGAACAAACTCTTTTATTTCAAATAAAAATAAAAAGAAGAAATTATAACGACGACTTACAAACAACACGACAGGCACCCTAAAGTTGCTGCACTTTGAGAAGAAGGATACAGGTGGAGTGGCACTTGCGGAGAGACGAAAGAGATTAGAAGCCCGAGAAGAAAGGGTGGAAAGAGCCCGCAGGATTTCCGGAGGAGATGAGAAAAGAAGGTTGGAAAGAGCCTGCAGGATTTCCGAGCAACCCGCAGGTTAAAAGATTTTCCAAAAATCAAATATCATTCAACTTCACTTTTTTTAAACAATACATAGCCCCCAATATTTATAGGTATGAAAGGGGAATACAAAAGGTCACAAGCATTTAATTAAACACTTAAAACTAAACATTAAAAAGCATAGAAATCCCCCCCCCCCCCCAAGTTCTCGGTTTACACCCAAACCAGGAACCAAGGAGACGGCCGCGGGAGACGAAGGGAACCGCACGGACCGAGAGCCACAGCCGCGGGAACCGAACGAACCGCACGGAAGAAGGAGCCAGCCGTGAGAACCCAAGAGGCATACACATAAAACTAAAAGTCATGAGGAAACCAAGGAGTCACCTCATGGGAAAAGCAAATTCTTGGAATTCCAAAGGCCGGTTTGGAATTCCAAGAGACAAACATTAAACAAGTATAAAAAGCATAAAACTATATTAATTAAAAGATAATAAATGAACTAAAATGTTAGCTCATAATGAGCTAACCCTTAGTTCAATAAATGAACTAAAGTTCAGCTCATAAATGAACTAAAAGTTTAGCTCAAATATGAAAAACTACTAGACTCAAGGGAAGCCAAAATATGATTTATTTTGGACTAGGGTTGACCCCCCCTTTGTCTACATCAACAAGAAATTATATTTTAAAAAATTCATAAAATATTTAAGATACACGTGTCCAATTTGTATTTAATAATTTTTTAATCGGACACATTTTCGGCGTGTCCAACACATGTCGGAGGAGTGTCGGACGAGTGTCGTGTCGGATACGTGTCGGACACTGCACGCCTCTTTGAAGAGAAGTGTCGGTGCACATAGATAATGCATCTATTTGAGCCAAAAACTAAACAGGCAAGGAAAGTAAGTGACTGACTAATGGGCTCATACCTTTGACGATGGTATAGATAATTTAGAAATACAACCTAGATTGTTCAGTAAATGAGTCATTCAGGAAAAACACAATGATAGTACTAGTTACCTTGACAACGGTCACTAGTATAATGCATGCTTAATAATGATACCCTGATTATAGAAACACCACAAACGTTTCATCCAGGCAATATGTATTAAGCATATTATATGATTACCATTCTGCTTTGATCAGATGATGGATGCATCAAAATAATCAATAACAATACAGATTAAGCAGTTCATTAATATAACAAAAAATATGAATATGTGATAAATCAAACAATGACAGAAAAAAAAGAAAACTGTTATATTATTTACTTGATTAATTTTATATAAAATTATATCCAAATCAAAAAGCAAATGAATACCAAACTAGAAATGTCATCCCCCTCGTTGTCATCTGCAGCTCCAGGAAGATGGCTTTTATTCTCTTCAATATGCTTTATCAATTTTGAAGAATACAGTATCACCCCAAATCTCATAGGAACACTATTTTGGACCATAGATAAAATCATACTGATCGTCTGTCAAAATTAAGGGTAATAAAACTTGTCAGCACCAGTTCCACTGTAGCACTACTTTACTGTATGTATCTATTATGGATACAAAAGAACATGAACCCGGCAATGGAATTAAATTTAACGTGCCTCTGCTCCGCAAGTTGTCGCAGGATCAATCGCATAAACAGCGTGGAATAGATTTTTACGAATGTACCGGAGCTGACCAGGGAACACTGGCATCAATATCTGTATTAGCATGGAAAAACAATTAAACTCAATTTTAATAAAGAAGCACTTGTGACAAATTTTGCATGCAGCTCTGCGCAAAAGAACCAAAGTAATGAACAAAAGTTGAGAGAGAGAGAGAGGAACAATTAAAGTGAATACTGGAGAAAAAATTTACAAACAGTATTTTTACAAAAAATTCTATAAACACCATCTCATTTGATGTCACATAATCTATAAGCACAGCTCATAAAAGTACTCCAACAATATCAAGAGAATGAATTACAAATTTAATATTTAGAAGTTCTTTGAGATTTGTATAAAGAAATTGTGGCGTAAAATGAGATGATGTTTATAAGATTTTCTATAAAAACCATTTATTAAATGTCATAAAACTTGCAGCAATATGCTTTATCGATCTTGAAGATAAAACAAAAAAATTAAGTGCAGTTTTAATAAAGCAGCATTATTGACAATTTTTGCATATAGCTCTGAGCAAAAAATCATAGAAAAGTGCAAGGTGAGAGGGAGAGAGAAATAAGAGCAATTAAAGTGTTTATTTCACCTCATTTATATTACTTCGCCATCTTCTATACATGGCATCTTCCTCCAAGTTATTGAGATAGTGAACATATGTTGATCGAAAATCGATACGAAAGACATTGGATCCAGCAGGGGGCGGGGCAGACAACAATTTCTGTATTGGTTTTTGTGGAAGCTGGAACAGATAAATTATTATTAAAATGCATTAACAGGTTAATTAATAAAACTACTTGGATGAGAACATTAAACGATCAGACTTCATTAAGTTAACTTAAGGGCACATTCAAAAGAAACACCAAAAATTAGCATCTACAAATAAAATGAATTGCCAAATCTCTCCTGATATCATTTTTTTTTAAATCTCTCCTGATACCATGTTAAAGGAAAGATCCATGGAAAAAATAGACATACTCAATCTTAATGGGTAGCATAACGAAAAGAATAACGAGATCCTATTCATGGAGGGAAACCACAATTTATAGCATAGCAAACATATCGAATATGTAACAAAATGCCAACATCTAGGCCTCATAATGTCTATGTTTTTCTCACATTACTAATCATAAAGAATACATACATTATTTAATAAAGTTAAATGCATAGTATCATTAACAATTATATGGAATATCATAGGAGCAAAGAGACTTTATAAATAAATAAAACAATGCTGGTGCATTTATTACATAAAACTAAGCAAGAACATGATAACAATAATAGATTTTCCTAGTAACATTAAGTAATAGAAAATGGAAGAGTAAAGGCATCTCATTCTAGAACTAATAGTGCAGAAAATGAGTCCACCCTTCCCATATCTCTAACAGTTAAATTCATAAAATAAATAACACCATTTCTTAAGCAATATAAATATATTACCACTTGCTGGTTATGCGCATAAAATTAAAATTTAAGCTTTCAAGTATACCAATTAAGGAAATACTCAGTTACCGTTAAGTTAAGATTTGCATACTCTTCCTCAGCATTTCAACAATAACAGGAAATTTAAACGTAATATCAAAACTGTAATTCCTGCAATCTCGCAATAATTCTTCGTCCCAATAACATATGATCAAAGAAATTCATCACATACTTGTTAAGATTCCTAATCTCAACCCAAAACAGCTGACTAAAATCTCCACTTTTCCAAAATTTCACGCTTTTGATTAACTTTCAAAGGATTAAACATGTTAGGTTAAACATTAAAGAAGTATAAATTGCATAATCCCCAAATTAAGTTTGAGAAAGAAATAAAACTTAAGAAAATAAGGAACGAAATCATTTACTTCAAAACAGTCCAAGCTAGAATTCTTCTCCTCTTTTCTTCGCATCTCCAACCTAATAACAACCTCTCACACTATAAGATTATCTGTTATTCCCTATACAACAATCGTAGCTTCCTCTAGTTAGTCTCACTCTATCATTCATTAAACTAAAATAATCAGATGCTCCCAAACCATTAGGACCATCTCGTCAGCCAGCAGTCATAAGAGAAAGGTATTTCTGATAAATGTCCTATACACCGGTTCGCTCACACCTTTTTTTTTACAGAAAAGGGAAATTCAGTGGTAATTTATACCCGTTTAGATTAAATTGATAAGTCATCATTAAAAAAAAAAAAGAATAACAGAATTACTTGATTCACCAAACCTTCACATTACATTCCTGACTTTTCAGATCAGCCCAATTGGTCCTCTATAGTCAATAGAAAGTATAACTCCTAGCATATAAGGACTAATTTCTTTTTTTGGGTTATCATTTCATGTATGACTTACCTTAATAAATAAAGTCTACTTGTCTACATATATGAAGCCTCTTTTCCAGGCATGAAGCTTAAAGAGAATTGACTCAATCATGCGTCACGGTTTAGGCTATTTGTATGTGCTCTTCTCATGCTTAACTTCTCAAAAAGTATCAAAATTTTGCATGAGCAACTTCTCTATGACTTCATGAACATGTGGACGGATTTATGGACACATTTCAATACAAGAGTATGACGTTTTTATTTAATACAATAGAACATCAACACAGTTGTACAAATGAAGCCTTAATCTCTTATAATTTTTTTCCTTTTAATGATTCCTTCTTCTACTCCCCTTTTCTACCGTCCTTAATGATCACAGTTAAACAAAAGTGTTTGCCATTGCTAACTGCTACACGACAAGTAATCTGTATCAAGAAATGACTCCAAAGATCCTCAAGAAAAAGGTGATTTCATATCATTTGATTACCATGCTTCTAAAGTTACTAAGAATATATGATTAGTGTTTATTCAGCTTTTCAAATTACTAATTCAAAAGCGTTTTGATTAGAATCTAAATTTGTGTTTCATTGTTAGTATAGCTGCTTTCAAAATTGATTGCATGTTTAAAAAGAGAAGAGCATATATCGTCCCTGGTATAACAGCTTCTAACCCATCAAAGAGTAACCAAAATGGTTATCCTTGTCCTACAGTAAGTCTCCTCTGATCTTACTCAGTTCCTCATCCTACTCGCTCTCATACTTCAAGGCCTCCCAATCTACCACCATGGGAACAGATAGAGCCATAACCCGAGGGTCTTCATTATGCATGGAGAGAGAATCAACAGCTTTATTTTCTAGCTCTGGTTTATACTGGACCTTGAAATAATAACCCAATAACTTGGAAATCCAACGCTGATGCTCCTCTGTCGACATCCTCTACTTTAATAAGAACTTCAAACTTCTTTGGTCGGTCCAAAGTCACTCTTAACTATGAAGTGTCGCCCCAACAGGTAAGGTCGCAACTTTTGTAGTGCCAACACTATCGCCATCAGCTCCCTTTCATACACTGATTTCAACCTGGCACTAACGATTAATACTTAGATGAAATAAGCTATGGACCTCTGACCTCGCATGAGAACTGCTCTCAACCCATAGCATGATGCATCAGTCTCCACTATAAACAGCTGGTTGAAATATGATAGTGCTAACACAAGGACATATAATACCCAAAATATTCAAGTAAAGGCAAGTATAAATTTTCCTTAAATGTTAATTGAAGCATATGTTACTTATGAAGTCAATTATATACGCATCACAAGTATAATAAATAACTGTTATATATTTCACAATTTTTTTTTGTATTTCCACTAGAGCCTCTACATTCCACTAACCAAGCCATGCAATGGTTGGATTAGATCCTATGGCTGAGAATTTTGGGAAGCCTGTAGTGGGAAAAGCACTAGAGATTATAATATAAAATAATCTGAATAAAAGGTATTAATCCTACAGTGGGCTTGAATTTCCCTCAGTTATGCAGTATTAGTATTCTTCTCCCATTTTCCATCAGCTGACTTAGGGTGCAAAGAAGCTGCAGGCCGTGGAATGCTATGGGAAGAATTCCTTAGGCAAATATTTTAATTAGAGGTTGAAAACTTTATTTGACTGAAACCAAGTGCAGTTTGTTATTTATCTAAGGATGTTGCTTTTAGTTGATGCAAATTCAAAAAACAATAAGAGAAGTACTGTTGTTTGTTGATAATAGTTAAAAACAGGTTAAGGCTGAAGCGGTAGCATAAAACATTAAAGAAGAGAACTTAGAGGGAAAGAAAAAGGATTTAATGGAATGAGAAAAAGTGTAATTGAGCTTGTATACAAGAGAAAAGGAAGACAAAGTCTTGGAGAACAAATTCCTAGCGAGGTGAGATACTCAAACAAGGTTATAAGAATTAGTAAATATTTTATTATTGCACTTCATCTTTATTATGCTTATGACCACATGTATTTTGATTTATTTTAGTTATTTTGTATGAACAAGGACGAATATGTATGAAATTATTTATGCAAAGAGTAATTTTTATCAATGTTAATGATTTCGTAAACAAAAAAAAAAAAGATAAATATTCATAAACTAATGAATGAGCAAAAAAGACAGTTAAAGTGCACCTAAAGCACAGCTAAAGTGCAACTCAGCTAAAGTATAACTAAAGCGCAATTAAAGTGCAACTCAGCTAAAGTGCAACTAAAGCACAGCTAAAGCACAGTAAAATGGCAACTAAAGAGCAGCTAAAGGGCAACAAAATGGCAACTAAAGGGCAGCTAAAAGTCAACAAAAGGGCAGCTAAAGAGCAGCTATGTCATCAAAAACATATGTCATTAGAGCTAAAAAGGATGACTATATGGAAAGTTAAATAAATTATATATGGGGGATAGGCCCGTACAAGTAAAGGCGAAAGACCCGACGAGGTAAGCATATACTCTCAATTCCAGAAGTTGGGAAATTTGACTCAATCCTGAATGAGAGAACAGCTTCCATTCTAAAAATTGGGAAGTTGGACCCAACCTAGAATTGAAAAGATGAAATGGTGCAAAAGCTTATAACCATTATACGACTTGTTTAAAGATATTGAACAGTTTTGGTAAGATGAAAATACTGCTAGGCACTTTAAGACTCAATATGAAATTTCAATGTGTTTTAACTATGTTAGCATTGTTAAGTATTTCTTAATTGTTTATTATTATTATTTGTTTTATAAATTATTTGTGTATTTCATTGAGTCTAACTCATTAGCAGTGGTTGTACTGCAGGAAAGGGGAAGAAGCCCTTGGGACAGTAAAAAGATGTGACTCTTCTTTTGGTGTAAATATGCTTTGGGTGTACAAAAAGATCTAAAACGAGATCTGAATGCTAGATGTACAGACTTTTGGATATCTGAGTAAATTTTAGAAGTTTTAGTAGAGCTTTGTATTTACTTCAATTATATTTGATGTTCGTTAAGAGACATTATATGTTTTTTATTATTAATTATGGAATTTGATAGGTTGGCAAGTTAGGAGGGTCTAAATAGATTTCTTTTGCTCACTCTATTCTGAAAGTAGTGGCTGGGAATGTGTGTTGGTAAGAAGGAATCGGTTTAGATTTTCCTTCTCTATTATACTCCAGATTGACCATTAGGGAGTAGGTCAAACTAGGGTATGATAGGACACTCTTCATGGCTTTCTTCAATTGCTCAAACATCAGGGTGGCTGCCTCCTCCTATTTGAAACTATCCTTCTTTAGTTGCTCTGTCAGCAACCATGCCATTGAATTGTATCCCCTCACAAACTTCTTGAGTACCCTATCAGTCCCAAGAACCCCCACGACTCCTTCAAGGTTTTGGGTAAGGGCCACTCCAACATAGCCTCTCTATTGAAAAGATCTGTAGCTACTCCTGATTTGGA